AGAATAAAATAATGCATAGGTCCTTTGGCTTGTTTTTTTAAAAGTCTGAATATTTCAACAAAGCCTTCCTAATTCAACGTATTCACATTACAGTGGTTTGAAATCCCCCAAAGTAACAACGAATGTTTTAATTACATCATGGCTTTACATTCTTTATTTTGGCAGTTCTTACCCTGGCTTCCAGGCACTTCTGGGGATACTGTATCTGTGCTTCAGGGCACCAGGAAACTCTGTGAAATTAAATAGGAGAATGGATTTTTTACGAGCCTCCCCCAAAAGATTAAATACTGACCACTTCATTGTCTAAATTAATCTTCATAAAATTTCTAGAAATAGTTGTTTTATACCCATTTCACAGATAAGGAAACCAAGGCTAAGGGAGGAGAATCCTTGGCTCTTAGCAGCACGCAGGGTGAAACGGCAGAGGCGAGACTCAAGCCCGGGCCTCCAGCAACTCAATCCAGGACCCACAGAGTGAAATCTAATTTTGCTTTATTCCAATTTTTTTTTCTGAATGAAAGTATGGGCTGTTTCCCCCTCCTAATTCAGTTTGGCCCTCTTGTTCCTAGAAAAGGATTGTAATTAGAGAGAATCACAATTGAATTGAGCTAATATGATCAGTGACATAGGGCTGGAGTCTGTGACCCAGCTCTGTCGAGACCTTCAGTCACTGTCTCACTTCAGAGGACCCCTCCCCACTCAGCAGGCTGCAGGCTGGGGCCAAGGGCGGCTGTGTTTAGGGGGGCAGGAGGGGCAGCTGTTAGGTACAGGAACATGCCCCTGGAAGTCCTGGCTCAGGCCCCAGCTCCCTGGGCTGACCTCAGGGGCATGCAACTTGTTCCCACGCTTGGAAGAGCCCGCGTTTGGTTTCACACTCTATCGTCACCATCTTGAAATGTGGAATCACTTTTGAACAGGGGACCCTGCGTTTGCATTTTGCCTTGAAAATTGTGTAGCTGTTTCCGCACTCTCTCCAGAAGTCAGAGGCAAGTTGTTTTGCCTCTCTGAGCCTCGGCTCTTCATCTGAGGCATGAAGATAAGGTGTTTTAATCCACAAGATTCTTGAGGGGTTCGATGAGAACGAGCCCACGAACGCCTGGTCAATTCTGTAGCCCAACCCGATGCCAGCCGTTTGTATTAGTGGTTGTCTTCTGACGCCAGCATATTCGAGCCCTCACCAAGTGAGCAAGAGCGCAGCTCCTTCCTGAAGGAGGGCACCGGGGCGTCTGAGTCCAGTCCAGGGCTCTTTCTGAGCCCTGCTGAGCCCCGTCCCAGGACAGAGCCATCGGATAGTTAAAAACCAGGCAAAGACCTAAGTCCATAGATTATTCAGGGTTCTGAGTTTGTCCCACATTCTCCCCTGGGGCCCTCGGAGACAGATCAATGGGAGAAGTTGAGGGTTCAGAAACCCACCATTGTGGTCTACGTGTCTTCATTCCTCAGGCATGTGCCCTACTCATTCTGAGAAGAAAAGAAAAATTCTTTCTGCACAGAGCTTCCACCTCACAATTCATTTTGCTAGCTGTGACCTCAGACACATTTTCCTCTCTGAGCTCAGTTTTCTCATTTGTAAGATGAGAATAATTCGGGTTACCCCCTGGGGCTGTGGGGGACATTAGACAAGAAGGTGCAGGTGGAAGTCTCAGCACTGCCTGTAGGAGCAGCAGTAAGAGTTAGCTTTTCTTTGTCTCCATCTTCTGATTATTATTAATTAATCACATTTGTGCGGCTAACAGAACTCAGCTCACTTTGACCAGGTAGATGAAGGGTTAGAGTGAGGGCAAAGGGGTCACCAGGCCTGCCTAGCCTCCGGCACCCCCTTCCTGCCCCACCTCCCCCATTTCCCACTCTGTTCATCCCCCACACTAGGCTGGGGGAGGCTTGTCACCTCGGCCTCCTCCAAATCCCAAAACCTGGGGAGAGATTTCAGGTGGGAGCTGGGCTGCCATCCTGCAGGCTGCTTCCTCCCTGAGTTCCGCTCCCCAGAGGGCAGCTTTATGATCTTCGGATTGTGATCTAAGTGTCTGTACCCAGAATCCACATGCAGGTGAGCCCCTTGTGGACACAGAGCACTTTATTCCACGCTGCATTTCACGCCGTATCTGTGCCTACCTCAGTGCAGGGCCTGCCCTGGGGCAGATCTGAGGAACATCTGCTGAATAAACAATGAAACTGAACCTTGAAGGGAAAAGAACTTCTATAGAAAGTACTTTATAGAACTTTATAGAAAGTTCTTTTTCTTCTTTAACATTGAAACCATTTTTAAGTGTGCAATTCGGTGGCATTAAGCAGATCTACGATGTTATATAACCACCACTGCTATCTGTTTGTTTCATCATCTGAAACTGAAGCTCCGTACTCATTAAACACTAACTCCCCATTCTCCCTTCCCCCAGCTCCTGGCAACCACCATTCTTCTTTCTGTCTCTATGAATTTGCCTCTTCTGGGTACCTCATGTAAGTGGGGTCCTACAACATTTGTCCTTTCAAGTTTCATCCATGCTGTAGCATGTGTCTGAATTTCATTCCTTCTTAAGGCTGAGATAATATTCCATTGTATGGATAGACCACATTTGGTTTGTCCATTCATCAGTTAATGAACAAATGGGGTTATTTGGGTTGTGTCCACATTTTTGCTATTGTGAGTAAGTGCTGCTATGATGTTCAAGTACCTGCTTTTAATTCTTTTGGATGGAATCGCTGGGTCATATGATAATTCTATGTTTAACTTTTTGAAGAACTGCCAAACTGTTTTCCACGCAGCTACAGCATTTTACAGTCCCACCTGCAATGTATGAGGGCTCAGTTTCTCTACATCCTTGCCAACACTTGCTGTTTTAGGTAGCGCTTTTAACAACTAGGCGAATAATCTCGTTCTTCCCGTAAATATATAGGCATCTCAGCTGAAAGCAGTCTTCCATTCTAAGCTGGGGAGAACCAGTGAGGGAAAGGAGAGGGCTGGGAGAGACACGGTCATTTGCCTTTGCTCGGTGATGCTGAGGACAGTCCTGCTCTTTAGCAAATGGATGGGATAATCTCTGTGGCTGGAGCTGCCATGTGCTCACGTTCCTTTCTGCTTTTCCAGGAACAAGAGCATTAGGGAAATGGAGGACATAATGTGGGTAAAATGGTGGCCTTCTGATGCTGTTCTCGGTTAATTCTGACTAAAGAATACGGAGTGAAAATTTGTCTTCATGTGACCCACTGCCACAAGTAATGAACCATTTTTTTCAGGGCAGAGATCTGGGCGGGGGTGTCAGGTGGTGGCCTGGCCCACTGAGGGGCAGGATGAATATACCAAGCACCCTATGCTGAGGAGCTATGCGCTTCGGATTGTAACTGATTGTTTAGCCATCTATGAGCCATCACACACCTCCCTCTGCCCTTCAAGTGGGACCCCAGTGTGTTCCAATTGGGGCTGTTCTTTGGAAATGGTGTTCTGCACCTCGGCCCCCTGGGCCCTCTCTCTGCAGCAGGAGGCAAATGGCCTGGAGGGAGGATGAGGGTCCTGGGTTCTCTGGGCTGAGAACCCCTGGATCTGCTAGAGACCCTGACCTGTCCCTGCAGCGACCAAGGTGCAGCGAGGGGGCTCATCTTCACCAACGTGGCTGGCTGCCTGCCCTCGGTGGAGTGCTGAGGCCCACAGGAGCCTCTCGGTGCTGCAGGGGTCCATCTGCAGGGCAGTGCCTGCTGCTGAGCTGGCCCGTGGCATGCCTGACTGCAGCACAGGACTGACAGGGACGGGGGCTGGGTCCTAAGAGATGGTAAACGGAGAGACAGAGTGCACATCAATGACCAGTACTTCTTGAACACTGCAGCTCAGTGCCAGGGGAGGGGGTGGGCACAGAACTACGATCTCACCTTCCTGGGCTCTTCCTTGGGCAAGGAGTGGGGTGCCTTTTGTTGAGTACTTACTGAGGGTGTGACTTAGGCCATGCACTTGACAAACCCCTCACTGACCAATCTGTGGTGGGGATTACCAGCTCCCCCTTGCAGCGTGACTTGGGTTATGGCTATGACATTTCCCAGTTGTGTGGCCTTGGGCAAATCAATTTACCTCTCTGAGCCTCAGTTTCCTCATCTAAGAAGTGGGGATAATAGTCTTCACAGGGGGAATACTTGTGAAGACCCTCTCTGTAAAGGAAAAAACCTGTGTTAAATGTTACTGTTATGTAGGGTACAAAAATCACTGTATCACAAAGTTATGAAGATGTTAGGAGGTACATTAACAAATAAGGAGAACTTAGAATATCTTACATGTTCAGGTGCAAATATTGAAGGAGCCACATGTAATTTTAAGCAGTTCCAGCAGAATTACCACTGTGCGGCCAGTAGTGGCTGAACAGAGATTCACACTCTGGGCCGTCAGAGACCAAAGCCCACGTGTTTAAACACCACACTGCAGGGCCTCTGCTAGCTTATGTGTCTCAAAATCAGCCAGCCAGGGAGGAACTGATAGCTCCCCCAAAAGATGGGGAGACTGAGGTTGAGAGAGAGGATCCAGTAGATAGAGAAATGCCTGGGGACGGGGTTTGAGGAAATTTATTTTCAGATGCTAGGGTCTGGAGTTCGTAATTCATTCACTTGTTTAACAAATGCTTATTGGGCAGCTATGATGAGCCAGGGACTGATCTGGGTGCTTTGGACACTACGATGAGTGAAAAAATGAGTTACAGCACCAGCCCTCATGGAGCTTTTGGGCTACAGAGGAGGCAGAGCAAGTGAATAAACGCACACATGAGAAGTGTAGTTGTAACTGTGGTGAGGATGCAAGTGCCACCAAATGACAGACACAGGATGTAAGGAGGGCCTGGAAAAGCCTGTTGGGCAGCGTCCCTGGGGAAGTGATGAAAGGCTAGAAAGGAGGACAGAGGGAGAGGGAAGCCTGGGCAAAGGCCCTGGGACAGGTCCAAGGAACTGTGGCACCGGAGCTGAGAGCAGAGTGAGGATGGTTTGATATACGGTGGGGCAGGGAGTTTAGGGCCATGTTATAGGCTTTTGTCTTCATCCTAAGAGCAGTGGGAAGCTTTCTGAGGGTTTTCACCAGAAGGCTACAGGTCAAACTTGGGCTCTGAAAAGTTCACTCTAGCTTCAGTGTTGGGAAGAGACTCAGAGCAAAACCATTAAAAATGGCAAAAAAATGAAGAACATACCAGCTGAGTAAAATCTTAGACAGCTGACTCCTTAACTAGACTGACAGTCAAGAAATGCCCCCACGTAATTACCGGCACGTGTGCATGTCACGTGCACAACCCTGTCACGTTGCATCTGGGCAGACAGACCAGCTGGAGGACCCACTGGAGCCTCTTGTTTCTGTACCCCTGCAGCTGGCTGAGCACCTAAACTGGTTTCCTGGGCCCTCAAGAAATGCCTGCTGGAAAAATGGACACCTTAGTGACAGTGCCACCTGGCCAGCCAGGCTGTGACATCTGAGTCCATGCTCCATGAGGTGAGAGCATTTCTGAAGGGTGTCTGTTTCCAGGGTATCATCCCTCCCAATCCCTCTAAATTTGGGGGCTGCGTAGGTCAGGCAGTGCAAGTTGAAGGTGCCGAGGGAAGGAAAGAGGAAGTCCCTGCACAGTACTGAGAAATCCCAGGGGAAGGTTGCTTCAAACCACCTCTACGCACCCAGCCTGGTCCTTTGGGCAGACAGTGAAGGAAAGGGACTGGGAAGTTAATACCCAGCCTGTACGACTGAAGACTGAGGGTCCCTCAAAGCAGAGGAGACTTGAGGGTGGGCGTGGGGGCTGGGAGCCTTCCCGTGTCACACACATGTGCCCCTTCTCCCTGGAATTTCCGTGATGTGCTCTAATGGGGCTATTTCTTACACTCGCTGCATCAGAACTGGAGGTGGGCCAGGTGAGTGAGTTTAAGAGGGAGCCTTGGCTTTTCCGGCAGCAATCTGGGAAAAGACATCAGCAGGAGAGAGATTGGCGAGACAGAGCATGAGTTTGCCGGGGTGAAGGGTTACTCTTTTATAACTTGGAGGCCTGGGCAGTGAGATGCACCCTTCCTGCCTGCGCGGCTGCAGCCTCTGCCGCTCTGCCTTGCCTGACCTGTGATTTGAGATGGGCCAAATCATAATTCCTTGTGGGCGATAGAGAGAACGAACGTGTCACGAAGCAATTTGGTGCCAAGTGTGCGGAAAAGGAGTGCCCGCTAGCGACAGAGGAGCAGGGGAGAGCTTGTATGCTGTGGGAGGGCTGCTCGACTGGGGTCCCCGGGGCCCAGATCAGAGCTGGGATTCTCCAGGGCTGAGTTAGGTTTGCTCAGGCCTGTGACTTCCGAGGTGAGTCAGCCTGGGTAGATGTCCCAGTCTGTCCTGGTGTATGAACTATCTATTGCTGGCCAAACATTAAGGGCTTCAAACAAAAAAATACGGTTTCAAATAGCCTGTGGGTCAGGAATCCAGGAGTGGCTTATTTGGATGGTTCTGGCCCAGAGTCTCTCAAGAGGCCGCAGTCAAGCTGTTGGTGGATGAGGCTCCAGGCATCTCAAAGCTCGACTAGGGCTGGAGAACTCACCTCCAAGGGAGCTCATGTGCCTGCCTGGCAGGATAGTGCCAGCCATGGGCAAGAGGCCTCAGCTCCTCACCACGTGGACCTCTCCACGGGGCTGCTTAAGTGTCCTCGTAACATGGCGGCCAACTTCCCTGCGCGTGAGCAACCCAGAGAGAGCAAAGTGAAAGCAGTGACTTTCTCAACTAGCCTCAGATGTCACACTCCGCTGTTTTGCAATGTACGGTTGGCGTCACAGGGCAGCCAGCCCTCTTTAATATGGAGGAGACCACGCAAAGATGTGAACACCCAGAGTGAAGGATTGCCCAGGACCATCTGGGAGGCTGGCCACCCCATCTGTAAGATAGCAGCTGTGTCTGCCCAGCTACCTTGTGGTCAGGCTGGGAGATCGTGTGTGGGAAAGAGCTCGGAGAAGCAGAGGTCTGGGAGTGTGGTTGTGGTCAGGACCTCAGGCTTGGGACATGACAGGATGAGATGTGCCATAAGGGTAAAACACACTTCAGATTTCTAAGATTTAATATGAAAAAGAGAATGTAAATGATCTCATTAAATGTTGAAATGATATTTTGGCTAGTGTGCTAAAGACATTTTTTATTAAAATTAATTTCACTTATTTCTTTTCATTTGTTAATGTGGCTACTGGAAAATTTAAAATTACGTCCGTGGCTGGCATTTTATTTCATCAGATAGCACTGGCCTAGGCCATGGGCCCTGGACTGCAGTCCTCATCCATTTTTCCCCAGAGCTTCCAAAGGGCTCAGTGAAAGCTGAGTGAGAGCTCTGAACACAGAACATATCCAAAGACTGTATAGGCTGCTGGTGGAGAGGATCTTTGGAGTCAGACAAACCTGGATTCAAATTGTGGCTCAATTCCCAGGGTTCCTAACCTCTCTGACCAGAGAGTCCACATCTGCAGAGTGGGTCCACTAGTCTCTGCCCAAGTCAGATGCAAATGAGGCGTTACCTTGCGCAGATGGAAGGGTTCATTATGCACATTTTTCGTATAAATGCATGCTGGCCTTAGGCTAGAAGCACCAAAGAGGTGCAGAGGTGGGACAAGGCTGAGGAGTAGCCGACACGTGGTCAGCCCCGCACCTGCACTGCCAGCCACATGCTGGCTGTTGGCAGAAGCAGCTTTGGATTTTCTGATTTTCCTGTTCTGCTTCTGTGTCCCGCCGTGGCCTTGTCTGGATCCCTGATGGAAGCAGAGGTTACCTACCAGGGAGTGAGAGCAGATCAGCCTGTCCAGCACAGTCCCACCCCCTTAGCCATCATGGGTGACAGCTTGGAGGAAGCACCTCCTGACAGGGGAAACTTGTCCCAGGGCAGTAGAGCAGGTCAGGTCAGAGCCCCTCCACACGTTCCTCCCTCCCCACCCCTCCCCTGAAAACCAGCTCTGAGCAACTCACCCTATCTCTGTTCCCAGAGGGACCAGAGACAAACAAAAGGGAGACATGTTTTCCGTTATCAAGACTCAAAATCCTTACACTTAATTAAAACATGCCATGGCAACCAGCGTGGTGCTGGTAGCTGGGCTCAGAGTGGCCACTGCCGCTGTCTGTGATGCCCACGTGCCATTTCTTTGTTCCGGGAGAGGCGACTGTGCTGTGCCTTTTGTGAGCATGGCCTTTGTCTGCAGCGCCAGGGGTGGAAACTTGGGGCCTCAGCGGGGCTGACACCTGCGGCCTTTTTTGGGCCAGTGCCTTCTCCAAGCTGGGAAGCCAGGCAATCCCAGGGCAGGTTTGGAGCCCCCTACATCAGCTGAGGGCTGCACTGGGGACAAAGTTGTGACCAGATGCAGTCCCCATACTCTGGACGCTGCTAGGTGGGACACACACAACCAGATTGCTGCTGGACAAAAGATAAGGACTTCGGTAGGGTGTGGAGGCAAGAGGCTGGGGATAGAATCAGAGAAGGCTTCCTGGAGGAGGGGTCATTTGCGTATTAGAAGAGGGAAGAGTCAGAGCCTGGTGGAAGGGGTAGCACAAGCCTAGGCATGGAGGTGAGAAAGAGCATGGCAAGCGGAGGCTGATGCAGGTCTGTGCCAGGAGGAAGTTGTAAGGAATTTGGAGTGCCAGGCTGAGAGGCACGGACATTGCTTGGTGTGGGCGATAGGGGTCCAAAGAAGGTTGCTAACTGGATCAGAGTCAGATCAGAGGCTACTGATCTGGGTTGTGCTAGTGTTGCAGGAAAATGGGGTGTGAAAGGATGGTCATGTTCCAGGTCTTACCCTGGGATGCGCCCCCTCCAACTGAAGGTCCTTGGCTTCAAGAAGGAGAGAATTCAAGAACCAGCCACAGTAAAGTGAAAACAAGTTTGTTTAGAGAGGTACACATTCCACAGACAGAATACAGAATGTCTCAGAAGGGAGAGCAGTGCAAGGGTGGTTAGTTTTTATGGATTGGGTAATTTCTTTTTTTTTTCTTTTAACATTTTTTTTATTGTATTTA